GTGACCCACAGGAGCCCACACGAACCTGCTCCACTCCGCAATGGAGATGCACCTGCACATCCTCCAAGAGGTGGGAAATTCCTTCTTTTAAATGCAGCCCCTGGGGCACCTGGGTGGCTCAGGGCGTGACCCTGGAGTTCTGAGATCAAGTCCCACATCGGGCTCCCTGCATGGAGCCTGCTTCTCCCTCTGCCTGTGTCTCTGCCTCTCTCTGTGTGTCTCTCATGAATAAATAAAATCTTAATAAGGGCAGCGTGCTGGGAGCTGGCAGTCCCTCCCGCAAGAGGAACCCGCCCCCTGACTACCACACGGGGTACCTGCTTCTCCCCGTCCCCTCTATGCCCCATCCCTGCAGGGCTGCACCAGGCCGGCTGTGAAAACCTGCTCCTATTTACGAAGGATCTTTTTTTTTTTTTGAGATTTTTTTTTTAATTTATTCATTTGTGAAAGACAGAGAGAGAGAGAGAGAGAGAGAGAGAGAGAGAGAGGCAGAGACACACGCAGAGGGAGAAGCAGACTCCATACCGGGAGCCCGACATGGGACTCAATCCCGGGTCCCCAGGATCACACCCCGGGCCAAAGGCAGGCACCAAACCCCTGAGCCACCCCAGGATCCCCTATGAAGGATCTTAATGTCCTGGGGACAAGGTCCTCATGTGGCATTCCATGAAAAAAGCAGGACACACAACTGAGTCTGCAGCAGGATATGAGCCCTGCACAACACAGTCACCAGGTCGGGTGAAAGCGCAGAAGAGCTACCCCAAAAACATTAATAGGTGTTGCCGGGTGGTGGGATTGTAGGTGGTTTTTATTTTCCTTTTTAAGCTTTATCCTATTTCTCAAGTTTTTACAAGGACTGTGTGTTAGTTTTTATAACAGGGAGGGAGGGAATCACATGTGTTTTCAACAGGAAATTATAAATTCTTGAGCCCAGGTCCCAGAGCTGTACTGCTGCTGGGCTTTTGAGATTTTTGTGTGTATATTTGTATACAGGTTTTTCTTTTCCAATAGGACCTAAAATAATAAAATTTCACAACACCTTTGCCAAGCACCTCATGCCATGTGGTTTGTGTGGCCTCTGGTTTGCTGTGTCAGCGTTTGTGCCAGCCTCTGGGCTTCTGTCAGGGCTTCTGCTCATGCGGGCTCCCCAGTTCCCAGCACTGCCCAGTCACAGCATGGGCAGATCACCCCGCAGCGCCGTGGGGTCAGTGGGCCCCTGCCTCACCAGCATTCAGGACAGACCAACACAGGCTAGGGGATGGGGTCCCCCCGTGGGAGCTCCCCAGTCATGTGCGGACGGGGTAAGGACCTTGGGAACAGGAGAAGCATGGCCCGCTCAGGTGAGGGGGAGGCTCAGCTGGAACGCAGACCGCCTGGGAGGCTGCTTTGTTGACTGATGATTGATTGACTGATTGATTGACTGATTGACTCACTGACTGGTGTGGTTTCTTCTCCACATGCACTGGTTCTGGTCAGCTTCAACTCCAGACGCAGAATCTGAGCATAGTGAGCTCCCGCACAGAGACCACGTTCACGTTTTATGGTCACGTTTTCTGTCAACGAGTGGGTTGGGATTGCAGGTTTGAGAATCACATCTGGCTTGATGGCCGACCTCCCTGCTTCTGCGGTCCGTTGTGATGTCACACGCCGCGGCGCAGTCCCCAGAAGACTCCAGAGAAGGAGTGAAAACCCACGTAATGTCTCGGTATTGTGGTCAGAATAGTCTGGCCCCTAGAGCCCTGACGGCAGGTGTTAAGGACACGGGGATGCTGAGTTCCGGGATCAAGTCCCACATCGGGCTCCCCGCAGGGAGCCTGCTTCTCCGTCTGCCTGTGTCTCTGCCTCTCTCTGTGTGCCTCCTCATGAGAGGAACGGAGGCAGCACCCGGCACAGGGGAGCCACCCTGGGAGGATGCAGCCCGCGCATGGTCTGTGCAACCAGGGGTACACTTACACAGCCACAGACCTGTGACTTCCGCGTGTCCCACTCATCTGTGCCATTGTCTTCCAGCTGGGGCCCAGAAGCCCCACACAGCTCTGGGTCTGCTGAGAGTACCTGGTTGGTTCTGCGGGGAAACACGCGGGTGCGACCCTGTCTGGGTTCTGATGCCCTGGTGGCTGCTCTCAACTACTGGGGGTGCGGGGGTAGCCCAGTGACAGAGATGGGTAGACCTTCCAGCCAGGAAAGGAAGGTGGGACCCCTGACCCCCGGGCAAGGTCACAACCACAGGGCAGGGTCTGCCTTTGGAAAGACTCCTGGGGAAAGGCCTTTGACCATCTGGGCTAAAGTCCCCACCCCTCAGCCCTGGGTCCACTTGGGCCCACTTGGGCCCCTGGTGGCTGGACACCATGTCCCTCACGCACAAAGCTAGGATGGGGCCACACACACTGAACCGAAGGGTCAATGGCTACTTGGTCACTTGGGCATGAACCCGCCTCCCTGGCTGCCAGCTTCCATGTTGCACATGGGAACATGACCGTGCGCCTGTGGAGTCTGCTGTGACCTTGGCTTTAGTGTCGTTAAAGAGAAAACAGGCTCGGAACAGGAGGCGGCTAGTCGGGAGTCACATGGGTGGCTAACAGAGCCCACACCCGTCCCGGGTCAGCCCGCTGGGTTCTCCCTACCACCCCAGCTGGACCTGGGAGGGTCCCCAGAAGTCGTGCAAGGAGATGGTCCCCGCTTCCCTGAACCCTCATAACAGCTGTGGCAGGCGGAGGCCATCATCCCGCATTCAGAGCTGAGAAAACGGAGCTAAGCAAGAAGAACCCGCTCAAGGTCCGATGCCCAGGAAGCGTGGCGAGCGCGCACAACAAAGCTGTACTCTTAATTACCACTGACCACCTCCCGTGGCAGGATTGGGAGTCGACACTGCAAATGCAGGAAGCACGAGGGCGCGTGGAAGATCCGCGAAGACCCCAGTTTGACTACATGTAGCCTGGAAATGCCACTGCGGGAGGGGGGCTCCGGAAGGTTTTTCAAGCTAAGTAGATACGAATACAGCTTCATGATGTTGTTGGGACAATGGAGGTCATTGTCCTGGGAAAAATGTCGCCCACTGTAACCAAGGGAAGCAATCATTTATCAACACAAAACACCCCTCTCGGGGTCCTGACGCCACCCCAGGGAGGGCCTCGCAGATGCTCCTGCTTCCAGAACTGGATCCGCCGGCTCCGGTTCTGCTCCCGGTGCTGCAGGATGATGAACATGACCCCATCCCTTCCCATCAGCCCAGGACAGGCTCCAGGAGACAGGGCCTGGCCACAATCCCACTTACTCGCTCTCCGTCAGGCGAAGACCCTTTTGACCTGCGATCTCACCTCTGTTGGCAGCACCCGGTTATTTTCCAGGTAATGTTTCATTCTCACCTGTCTCCAGAGAAGGAAGACAGGGCCTTGGTCACCAGCAGCGGGAAACTGTGCCCACAATGTGGACGCTACGGGCAATTGATGCACCGCGGCTCGGGGGGCTTCCCCATAGACGGAGGCTACTCATCAGGCTTTACTTGTTTCCTTGTACCCACGGGGCACCTTTCCAGGCCTCGCCCCAGGTACATGACCGGGGCCCACGTGAACCAGGTAGAGTGACCAGGGCAAACCCAAACCAGGGAGAGCGACTGGGGCCGACCTGAACCAGGGAGAGGCCCTCAGAGCTGTTTCCACAAGGGAAGGTGTCCCCCCAGAGTCCCCACACCCCGTGTCCACATCCTCTGGGGCAGCCCCTAATCCTGCTGGGTCGGTCTGAACTCTGACCTTCCCCATAAGCTGGGAGGGGCACTTGACCTTCCAGCCAGAACAGAAAGCGCCCCCAGTGTCCCCAGGACCAGGAGGGCCTCATGTCTGCTCATCGTCACTTGGGAGGTGATGCTCGGCCCCTGGTGGGCAGCTCAGCCTCATAGAGGGCCTCTCTCTCCCGGGTTAGAGATGCCCCTCGCTGGCCGCTGAGACTCTCTGGATCAAGGAGCACCTAGACTGTAAACCTCCTGTGACACGGTCCACATGTCAAGACACCACGTGTGCAGCGGGCCAGCCAATTCAGGGACACCAAGGATGGGAAGGGCTCTGGGCCATCTGGCCAACAGTCACTTCGAAGGTGACCCTAGGCATGGGAGGGGCTTGGCTGGCTCCAGGGCAGGTGCCCCCCAAGCATGGTGGCTCTGCAGGAAGGCACATGGACAAGTGCCCCACACCAGGAAGGTGACCCTGGATGTCAGGACTGAGTGGACAGGCAGAGGCAGGGGCTGTTACCAGCAGCTCCTGAGCCACACAGAGCCCCAAGGGGTGGGCGCCGGGGACCCTCGACCCCGCTTTGTCTCCACAGCCTACACTCTTGGCCGCTGACCTGAATCTGCGGCAGGAACAGAGGATGTTTTCTTCTGGTTTTACGGTTACTTGAGAATGAAAAAAAAGAAAAATGCTCCCAATGATTATTGACTGGTCTGGAGACCAACAGCAAACATACGTGTTTACACTCAGGAGGGAAGATCCCGGACAGCCCAGCCCTGGAGCTGGAGGGGGCATCTCCCTATCCCCCCTGCCCCCCTCTTGCCCACAGTCCTGACACTGCGGCGGCCCCCAGAGTAGCCCCCCACCCACGACCCTACGCCCCACCCCCCCGACAGCAGCCACCCATTGACGTCCCAGGAACTGGAGGGCCCTGTGTGTCCTCTTCACTTCTCCCAGACCCAGAGGGACCCAGACATTTGGGGGCTCCAGGGCCAGGGGTGCAGGGCTTGTGTCACAAGCAGGACAAGATGGGGAGCTGAGTCAGGGATGCAGACCCACACTCCACTGCCCCCAACCTGAACGAAGCCTCCTGGGCCCTGGACAGCTCCCCAGGGCCTAAGAACGGCCTGTGGGATGTGGGGACATGGGGACCTAACTCGGGCCAGCGCTGCCCCACCAGCCCCCTTGGGCCTCAACCTCCAGGCCCCACCCAAGCCTCGGGGCCCCTCCTGCAGGCCCACTCCCCCAAATGAGAGTGAGGTTGGTCCAGGGATGGTGACTGGGTTTAATCAGTGTGTGAAGTGCCATCCTCAGCAGATGGTGTCGGGGCGCAGGCCCCCAGCCCACTGGCCTTGGTCACCCCCATCCCGCAGGGGGATGGACTTCCTCATGTGGGTGCAGAGCACCTCGTCGATGTAGATGGTGTTCTCCTTGACCTGGACTTCCTCCTGCAGTGCCAGTTGCCGGCGGTTCAGGCCCTTCAGCTCCACCTGCGCCTGTGCCAGGGCCTCCTTCAGCCTGGGGGAGGGACAGCAGGGCCCGTTCCATCCACCCTTCCCTCAGGGTGAGTCCCTGAGCTCAGGACCAAGCCAGTGGACACCCAGCCACCCCATCTCCTCACAGAGATTTCAGATCCGAGGCCACCACCAGCCCCCAGGAGGGAAACCCCAACAAGGGCCCACGTGGAAAACCATGGGTCATTACGGAGACTTCAGGATTTGGGCTCCAGACAGATTTAAACTCTGGGACCCATTTTCTGTGTTTAGTGGAGAATGGGAGTCCTGGACCCCAGAGCCACCCCCGCGCCCCCTGGCTGCCCCGCCAGGGCCGTCCGCCTACCTTCCGACATTCTGGGCAATCTCGCCGACTTCCTTGACCAGCCGGTACTGCGCGACATCGCGGCACAGCTCTACGTTGGGCCGGCGTGTTCGGGTCTCCAGGCGCGTGTGAGCCACCTTGGCAGGCCCCTCTTGATCAAGGATGGCCTTCTCCAGAACCGTCATGTTCTTCTCCTGGCATGCGATCTCTTCCATGACCTGACGGAAGGGCATGAGGACGTGAAGGTGGGTCGTGCTTCTCAGACGCCGCAGCAGACACGCTGAGGGCTGTGTGGTCACGTCAGACAGTGACAGGGGACCTGAGATGCACCCAGCTGGGCCCTGCAATGCGCCTGACCACCCCTCCACGCAGCAGTGACTGCTGGTGGCCAGGGGCCTCGCCCGCCCTCAGAACCCCGGGGACGGAATGGACATGACCGGCCATTGTTGCCTCATCCCCTCTGGGTGGGGGGTGGAGGGGGACAGGGAAGGACTGAGAAGCTGCCGGTGGACCTAAGCCCACTTCCCTGCACATCTGCACGTTGGCACGCGGTCCCTCTGGAGGCCTGGGTGGCTCCCCACACAACTGGATCCCGGGATTCTTTCTGGTGGCTTTGTGCACAGGAAGACACTGCTCAGAAATTACTTGGGTATTTAGATTAATGTTTAACTAGTTTAAAATCTTATTTTTTTAAGATTTATTTATTCACAAGAGACACAGAGAGAGGCAGAGACACAGGCAGAGGGAGAAGCAGGCTCCCTGTGGGGAGCCCAACATGGGACTCTATCCCAGGACCCCGGGGTCACACCCTGGGCCAAATGGAGATGATCAACCACTGAGCACCGCCGGGTGCCCCCAAAATTTATTTCTTCTTTAAGCATTTTTTAATTTTTCACTTTGCATCCTGGAGATTCCCAGACACACGCAGTTGACAGGATAATGACCTCATGAGCCTGTCATCAGCGTCGGTGACAACCAACACACAGCCATTCTCTCCCATCCCAACCCTGCCCATCAACTCAGTAATCATTAACAAAGCCCAGGCATTATGTCACGTTAGTCTTGAATTGTTGAGCATGTGTCTTTAAAATGTAAGGTTCTCTTTTTTCCTTTAGCAAAACGACAATATCTTTATTACGCCCCCCAAAATTTTTTAGTATCATGTAATACATACAGTATTCAAGTTTCTCTCATTGTCCCATATTTATAAGAGTTGGTTTGTTCGAATTAGAACCCAAATGAGACCTACATGTTGCATTTGGTTTTCGGAACATTTCCTATGCTTTCCTTTTATTTTATTTTTTTAAAGATTTTATTTAATTATTCATGAGAGAGAGAGAGAGAGAGAGAGAGAGAGAGGCAGAAACATAGGCAGAGGGAGAAGCAGGCTCCATGCAGGGAGCCCAATGTGGGACTCGATCCTGGGACTCCAGGATCATGCCCTGGGCCGAAGGCAGGTGCTAAACTGCTGAGCCACTCAGGGGTCCCCCTCCTTTTATTTTTTTTAAGATTTATTTGAGAGAGCGTGGGCAGGGGGAGGGGCAGAGGGAGAAGAGTCCCCGTTGAGCCCCAGGTGGGATGCAGGCCTCGAACCCAGGACCCCAAGATCACAACCTGAGCCAGAGTCAAGAGTCAGACACTCAACCGACGCAGACACTCAGGCACCCCTGCCCTAAGCTCAGCATCCAGATGCTCCCGCTTCTAATTTAGTTAAACTCCTTCACACTTGGACACCTGGGTGACTCAGTGGTTGAGCATCTGCCTTCAGCTCAGGACATGACCCTGCGGTCCTGGGATCGAGTCCCAAATGCAGTTTGACTGTTACCAACACCCGGGGGTTGGTGCAGAGCGTTTGTCACAGCAGGTGCGCCCAGCGCAGGGCTGGTGGTACAGTGACACCCTGAGAGTTTGAGGCATCCCCACAGACCCGGTCACGACTCGATGGCTGCCCAGGGCTGGCCCTGCCGCCACATGGGGACAGCGCGTTCATTAGGCCGAGGCAGGAAGAGCGGGCTGAGACACAGGGAGGGGCGGGCCTTGTTAACCAGTGACACTGCAAAGCATCACGTCTCTCACACAATGGCACCGCGGGGCTGAGAGCGTAGCACCCCAGCTGCCCCACGCCAGCCACCTTTCACCAGATTCCCCAAGTGCATGGAAGGTGGTGACCGGAGACGGGGGACGTTTAACACAGATGTCCCCTCCCAGCAGGATCCCTTCACAAAACATGGAAACAAGGCGCCACCCAAGTAAGACCATCGGCCCACCATGCAGGATGGCCACCTGCTGCCCATGAGCTCAGCACCTCGCCTTTGACTGCCGCGGCTGAGGATGGGGCGGGAGGGGGGTATGCAGGGCGACAGCCGCTCGGAGGAGCTGAGGGCGTGAACCTGCGTCGGCAGTCCACAAGAATCGAGGTGCATGACTTCGGATGGTCCTCCTGGGCTCTCCACGCACGGCCAGGCGCCCTGATGCCCTCGATTGTGGTGGGTGCGCGGCGTCCACACTGCTTGCAGCAGTGACAGGCACAACCTCCGTGAGTAGCCGAGCGAAAGCCACAAGTGGAGGTGTTTTCCCGAACATGAGACAACACGGACTCAGTATGACCGGAAGCGCTGAGCAGGAACTGGTGTGAACGGAGCCTGCGGGGCACGTCTGCCGCGTTAACCGTCACAGAGCACTTTGCAGGCAACACTTGCGGGGTCGGGTGCCCCTGAACCAGGGGTGCCAGTGTCCTCATCCAGAGCTCCTGGGTTCGCCCACCGTGCACGGGTGCCTTATGGTCAGGGGTGGAACCCATCCTCCCCAATGACTCAGCACCTCAGGGTTTTCGCAGAGATGAGGTTTCCCTCTGATTTACTCCCACTCGGGGCCAAGACGGAAGTGCTTCTGACCAAGAACCATCCTCGACCACTACCATCAAACATGGAATGGCTGTCGAAATCAGCTTTTGCTGCAGTTTAGTATTTCTTAATGAAATATTTTTTTAAGATTTTATTTATTCATGAGAGACCCAGAGAGAGAAGCAGAGAACAGGCAGAGGGAGAAGCAGGCTCCCTGCGGGGACCCCAATGTGGGACTTGATCCTGGGACCCCGGGGTCACGCCCTGAGCTGAAGGCAGGCCCTTACCCGAGCAGTCACCCAGGCATCCCAAGGATTATTCCTTAATGAATCCAGCCTATAATCATGTGCAAAGCTTGCACTTGTGTAAAGCCATTTCAGCAACTGCCCAGGTTGGAACCCGAGCAGTGTGGGTCTCACAGCTTTTTGCACCCCCTGTGCTGTGGGAAATTAAAACAAGGAGCTAGATCTCCACTCCCACAGTAGTGTGCAGCACATCTGTTTCCCAAAACAAGGGAAAGAGGCTCCGTGAAGACCCCACACCCACAGGCTGCTCTTCTGGGGCAAGAGCCGATCCCGACAAAAAGACATTTTCAAGGATGAAAGGTGTAAGAGTCTTGTTACGAGTGAGCGTCCTGATGGACCAGCCTCCAGATTAGGACAGAAAACACTAACTCTAGAGAACTACCGCCTGTGGTCTGTTAACCTGTACTCCGAAAACCCAGACTCAAGCGTTACTGCTTGATCATCGGTGTTGGCAACGACCATATGTAGACATCTGTTTTCTTTCTCACATTATAAATCCCTACAGAATTCCCTGATTGTCACCTCTCCACCCACCAAGCCTAGGAAGGCTTTTCTCTGACCCTTTACAGAGGTGGTTTGCCATCCCCTCGAGATGACCTAACCCTGGGTTATAGTCAATGTTCCTTTTCCTACTTCTCCATCTCGCTGAGGCTAAAGTACACCCAGTGAAGAAACAGATGTGTCTCCAGGCACAAAACAGGGTCAGCCCACTGTCCCCTCAGGGGATGGTCTTCTCGGCCCATGTCTTCTGGCTGCAGGTTAACCGGGGGATATAGAACTGGGTCCCTGACCCTGCCACTCACGGAGCAAGGCCACTCACCCACTGGGGCAGTGATCGGCGACCCCGTGCTACATCCCCTGCCTTCGCCTTGACGGGATCCTGCCTTTATCCCTTGGGCCACGACTCCTCTGAGTGTCAGTGTAACTGCGTGTGACGTGTGGGCTTTGGGGGAGGGGGTCCCATCCCCAGGGCTGCGCCAGCACCCACAAGCCTCACCCCAACCAGACCAGCTGAAGTGCAAGACACACGTCTGCTTTCAAAGACATCACTTTACAGAAAAGACTGTAAACTACATCGTTAATCGTGTACGCTGCTAACACGCTGAAGTGGTATTTTCCATGTGTTGGGTCAGACAAACCTGTTTCCTTCCACCATTTGTGAGGCGAATGGCACACAGGGCTGCATCTGAGTCCTCTTCTGGGGAAGGGCTACCCAGTCATCCCGCCCGTCCCTCCCATACACGAGGCCACAGCGCGGACCACTCCTGTCTGGTCTATCCCACCCAGCATGACCCAGGGCATCCCCACGGCCTGTCCCGACCACCCAGTGGGTTCCTTCCGCACCTTCAGCCCTGCAGCTCCCGGAATCTGTGGGACCCAGGACTGGCCTCTGCTTGCCTTCCAGCCTCAGACTTGCCCCTCAAGGCCCAGACACGTTCCTACCCCACTGGCTAGCCCTGTAGCTCTTCTGTGGACATTATCATCATCATCATCATCACTGGCTGCTGATCTGTACTGACGACGGATCACGTGAATCACACACGTGTGTGTGCGAATCTGTGTGCCGTTCATATGTGACTGTGTGATTCTGGATTTGCAACCGAGCAGTCTGATTTAACCCTGACCCACCCCAACTCGTGAGTACTACTGCCCCTACTTCGCCAATGAGGTAAATAGAGAATGGAGCTTAAGTGTATCGCGTATATTTCTAATTTCCTGTATATTATGACATTTTGACACCATAGAAATACTGCCAGGTGCAAGAGCCTGCCTGTCCCTGGGCCAGTCAGAGCTTGGCACCATTCATGGGCCCAGCGGGCTGACCATGAGGGCAGGCTGACTGTCCAGGGCTCTGGGGGCACAACTCCTCTGCCTTCTTCACCACTCAGGCAGGCTCCAGGAACTACTGAGGCCACCGGTCGTCACCTACCACACTGATCCCCTCCCAGTTAGTAGAATGCAGGGGGCCTACGAGACCCACGCCAGGTAGCTACTTCCATCTCTGAGTCCCTGGCAAGGCAGGAGGCCAAGAGCCTTCCCCATGCCTGGATCTGCGCCCTTGTACCTTCTTCCAAACCCACCACCTACGCTCTGCATTGGGTGAGAGGAGCCCCGGTGCTGGCCCCATGGCACCATCGCTGAATACACAGGAAGCCTGCCCACTCACTGCTCAATAGGCAGCTTGAAACTGAGCCTGGTGGAAGCATTTACACAGCAGTCCACACATGCTAAACATCAGGACTTGGTTCCGAAGCCCATCCAGTGGCACACCCGGGGAGGAACAGGAGGAGCCAGAATCCCGGCCCCGTGGTGGGGTTCGCAGTCACTGTGCTCAGGGAACATCAGGTGTCAGCCCTGTACAGCCCAGGGAGACATCTCACACGGACAACCCGAGGTCCAAGGTGGGGCAAAGGCCCCTCCATCCCCTAAGGCCCAAGCCCTGTCATTAAGAGGCAGACATGTCGATAAGCCCCACGCCCCAAGGACCCGGGAGCACACACCTGGCCAGGCTGTGTGGGGAGCTCACCTTGGCCAGGTGGGCAGCCAGCTGGTCCCTGGCGGCCTTGGTCTCCTTCAGCCCCATCTGGAATGCCGTGTCCACCATGTCACACTGCCTGCGCAGGTCATCAGCTGTCTGGGACAGGATCCGGTCCACCAGGGCCTTCAGCGCCAGGGAGTTGTTTCTCTGCCTGTTCGCCTTCTCCACGTTGGTGTTGGAGAAGTCCAGCCAGTCCTCCAGACTCACGGAGCTGAAAGGGGACCCACATGTTCCCTCAGGGCGCATCTGGGTGGCAGAAGACTGCATGCAGAGGACACAGGGCCAAAATGCACAGGGGCTCAGCCTCCACCCCCATCCCCCCGCCATGGCCAGGAGCACCCAGAATGTGTCCCCGTCTCTAGGCACAGCCCATAGTGGCCATCACTCTGGGGAAACCCCCCTGCCCAGGGTCAGGCTCTGGGCCCACCCTGCACACACAGCATCGCCCCTCATCCCCACGAGACCTCGTGAGCCGCCCTATGGCCCCCATGTCACAGAGGAGGAAAACAGACTGGAAGCCTGCATCACCTGGGCAGGGAGCACGGCTAGGGACAATGTGATGGCCCAACACTAACGACCATGGATTACGGCCCAGTGACTGGAATGGGATCCTATCTTTCCTGACAGAACGAGTGAGTGAGTGAATGAATGAGTGAATGAGTAAACGGCTAGTTTGACCAGGAATCGCTTCTGCAGCAACAGGAGAGTCTCAGCGTAAGGTCAGGGGAGGAGGACACGGAGGGCAGGTAGCAGCTGCCGGGGCAGAACCAGCCCAGAGGTCAGCCTGTGTGGATGGCTCCTGTGCTGGGCTCTGGGGACTGTGGGCCACCTACCCACCCGCTGCACTTGGCCCATACATGCCAGCGAGGCCGCGGCTGGGATCCATGAACAGGGCCTGGGCGCACCATGCACCTGCCGCCCCAGGCCAACGCCAGCACCCACTGTGCTGGAGAAGAGGCTCTGGCAAGGCTGCCTCACGAGGAATCTGCGTGGACGCGGGTCCAGGAGTCTCAGACGGCCTGCAGCCTGGCTGAGCGGACCTGCTGGGCGGTGTGCGGGGACGGGACGCGGAGACAGGAACGGGACCCACTCACTGCGGCTCGACTCTCACGACGCTGTCCGAGTAGTAGATGCCTGGGGAGTTGTTGTTGAGAGAGAAGCAAACATCGTCGATGGTCAAGGCCACAAACTTGTCCTTCAAATCCTTCTCTAAGTTGTACTTGGCGGAGCGGTTCAGCCTGGGGAGGAGGGCAGAGGTGCGTCTCCCTCCACAGTGCCCACAGGATCCAGGGGCAGGGATGGGAGACTGGGAAGCCGGCTGAAGCCAGTCTGGCATAGGCGCAACCCCTGCTCCCCTCTGTCGGGTTCCCCTCACCCCGACCCCGGGGCGCCAGTTCAAGAACCCAGCCCGGATCTTTATGATCCTCTGCCAGCCGAGAGCTCGCTGCCCGGCGCTGATGGGAGGGGCGAGAGCCAGGGCAGGAAACGGCCCCTGGGGTGCCACAGGGTGAGCCCAGCCACCCCCACACTGGGGCCTCACAGCCGCACCTGATCTGCTCAGTCACCTCATCCAAGGTGCGGGTCAGCAGGGCCATGACCCCGCGGATGACCTCAGCCTCCCTCAGCAGCTCCTGTTCCACCTCATCATGCACCAGGTCGATGCCAATGCGCTTGTCCCTGCCCAGAGGAGGGGGGTCAGCAGCCGGGTGCGCGGGGGGCCTGTCCACGTGACGCTGTCCCAACCTTGGGGCGGAGGAGGACCCGGACGCGATTCGGCATCTGTGACATCCCCCTCACCCTCTGGAGCAGGAGCAGCGTCTGTGGGTCAGCGACCCCGGTCACAACTACGCGAGGTCCGCTCCCCAGACTCCTCCTTCTAACCCGCTCATCAGAAAAGGCTCCTGTGACCTCAAATCGCCAGACATGTGCCCCCTTCCTGGAAACAAGACCCGGTCCTCACGGTTCTGAGAATCTGAGCCCAGAAAGGCTCCCTGTGCTGGCAACAGGACTGCGATGCCCACGCCCACCCAGGGTTCTCACTGCACGTCCCCAACGCCCTGTGGCCGTTTCATGCAAATATCCTAACTTCCCCTCGGAGTATAGGGCCTGCAGCTCTGCGGATGGGACCAAACTCGTCCTCCAGGAACCCACCCACTCTGCCTATCCAGAATAAAGACATCAGGCTCCCAGGTTCTGCTGGTGTGGCCTGGTGACCAACCTCCCGTCAACGGGAGGCACACAGGGAATACCTAATTATTCCTCCTTGCTGGACATGGGAAGGAACGGCTAGAGCTCTGGCAGCAGTCTGGAGTCACGAGGTCACACGGGAAGTGAACCCATGTGGCGGCGTAGTGAGACCCAAAGGCCTGGAACCCTAGCACTGTGCCAGCCCTGCAGCGACCACCTCCAGGCCCCCCAACTCTGAGAGAGGATGAACTGCCTGATTTAAATTCAGTGTTACTTCAGTCCCCTGAGTCCCTGCAGCCAAACCGTACATTTAAGTTAAGGTAGCGAAGAGCTCTTTCAGCTGCCAGGCATGGATTCTGCTTCACCGCACCCCCCACCACACCCCCCACCACACCTTCCCCCGTGCCCCCTATCCCCCACCCCAGGCAGTGACTCTGGAGGACCCCCCACCTGTATTCCAGGCACATCTGGGTGATGTGCAGGGGCTCCTTCAGGCTCTCCAGGGCGTTCTGCAGCCTGGTCTGATAGGTGAGCAGGTCCTCTGTGGTGCAGACTAGCTGCTCCAGCTTGTCATCCAGCTCCTTCTTCCAGAACCTGACTTCCTCGAGTCTCTGTTCTGTGGCACACAAAGAAGCATAGGGCACCACCAGCTCCAGGGTGAGACACCACAGGGCCATCCTCAAACCACCCAGGGGCCCCTGTCCAGGGAGTGCTGGTTAGGGGTGAGTGGGGTGGGGGCGGCAGAGGGAGGGAGGGGCCCCTGCTATACCAAGTCAGCATCTAATTAATGCAAACATCATCCATGCTCATGACTCTAATTCTTCAATGCCGGCTGTTTTGAAGAACTTGATTTTGTCAAAGATACAGACGTACGTCCTCTGAGTCGTAGGAACAGTGAGAGTGTCACAGCTCTTGGACCCATCCACCCCCAACTCCCACTTTCTGGGAGGAACTGCGTTTTTTTTTAAAGACTGATTTATGATTTTAGAGGCAAGGGTTGGAGGGGTGGAGGGAGAGAGCGGATCTCTAGCAAACTCTCGGCTGAGCACATGGCCCAGGCTCCATCCCGGGACCTGAGATCATGACCTAAGCTGAGATCAAGACTCAGGCGATTAGCTAACTGTACCTGCTCCCAGGCGCCACAGGAGCAATCGCTAAGAAGCTTAAGAAAATGCTTTCGGAATTCCTTCTGGCATTTGCTCACAGCACTATTTATTCTGATCAGTTTTAGCAGCGTCCACCAACCTCCTGTGACTCAAAGACCAGCATTTGCTCTTGAGCCCCAGGCTCCTGGTGCGGCTGCCTTGCACATCCTGTTACAGAAGAGCTTCACAACTGTTTATACACAGCAAACACGTAACTGCTATTCACACCCGAGCCACGCACTGTGCTACCATCCACATCATCTCCTGCACAATTTTCTGTTTGTGTTTGGAGGGGCTGGAAGCTGTGCTTTTTGTTTCATTCTCCAGATGCTCATTACAACACTCCAGCCCACCAAGGAACCCACTGACTTTGCTTCCTCCCAGGACCTCTGCCCAGGAGCACTTTCTCCTCCTGCCCACGGATGATGGCTGCCTGTTCCAGAACATCCTCAGCCTCGCACCTGCCGCCGTCCCCTGCCCAGCTGTCATCTGCTCCTGCTCATGCCCCATCCACCCGCCAAAGGACGCCCTCCTCAGAAATTTTTGAAAGCATGCCAGCCTGAAAATGCCTTCATTCCACCTTCATCGTTTGGCTTTGGCTATGTGTGGATTCCCAGGATGAAGGTGATTTTCACCAAGAATTTTGATGACGGGGCTTCATTTCCTCTGTCTCCAGAGCTCCTGCGGAGAGGGCTGGTGCCGTTCTGAGTCCTGATCCTCTGCATGCGACCTGCAAGCCTTCCAGGGGTCTCCTCTCTATTTTCCTGGTGTCAGCCTTACTCCATCATGAAGCCAGATGCCAGAAACAGACCCCCAGCTCTAGGGGATTTCCTAGGATTCCTCTGCAGACAGTTTCCTCTCTTCCTCCTCTCTGCACCCGTTCTGGAATCTCTGTCGGATAAGGAGCCTCCCTGTGGGTCCCGATTCTCACCCTTCCTCTCTATTATCCATCCATCCATCCATCCCTTTGTCCTTTTTTCCCCTATTTCCTGGAGATTCTTCAACTTTCTCTTTCAAACCCTCTTCTGATTTTCACAAATGTGCTCTCGTATTTTTAATTCCCAAGGACGCGTTCTTATTCCCTGAATGTTCTTTGTTAAGACTCTTCTTGTTTCATGGATGCAATGCCTTCTCCAAATTTCCTGAATATTCTATGGCATATTTTTTCTTCTGTGTCTGAGTGTCCTGCTAGAGGCTCTCCTCACTGTCTCTAACCCTACCTGAGTGTACTTGAGATAACGATGCTAGCGTGCTAACTGGAACCTCTCTATGCAGGGTCAGGGCTTGCATGCCACAGCACTTGGCTGTCCAGAGTAACCAGTCAGCCTGAGGGTCTCATTGGATAATCCCCAGGGGATTATGGTACATAGACCCCTCGTGGTTTCCCCACAAACACATCTGCCAATCTCCCGACCGAGCACAGAAGCCCAGCTACCAGTGTCCCAGGAAGCAGGGGGCAGAGGAATTAGTGCAAAGTGAGGAGGTTCATCACATCCTTGGCCTTGAGCCTTCCGCTGGGGGGAGGAGGGGGCAGGAGTGGGCTCTTCACAGGCTTCCAGCCAGTCTGGTCTCCAGTCCCTTCCCTCAGCTTCCAGCTTCAGAGGTAACCGGATGCTTCTGATTTTGAGCATCTCCAGGTGCCTGCAGTGTGAATGTGTGGCAGGCAGCGGCCAGCATCTCTGGTCCCCACCCACGCAGGATCTCTGCAGTCCCTACGTGTGTAGCCACCAGACCTTCTGCTTTCTAGCTCCAGAAACGTGTCCCCATCCTGGGATTGAGTCCCACACTGGGCTCCCTGCTCAGTGGGAGGTCTGCTTCTCCCTCTCCCTCTGCCTGCTACTCCCCCTGCTTGTTTTCTCTCTCTCTTCTTTGTCAAATAAATAAATAAAACCTTTTTTTTAATCCATAAAAAAAGGAATGATGGAGGGCTGGAAAGCAGGATGGGCTACGACGCATCTGTCTCAAGGCAGTGAACTTAAACACAGAACCTGAGCAATACACACGTGTCCCCCCTGTATGCCACTACATTGCCACGCCCGAACATGGACTGCAAACGTCGGCACAGCTCCGCCTCACCATCACATCCAGGCTTGGCTCTTACCTAGTTTCTTGTTTACATCGCTCTGAGACTTTCTTGTGGTCTTTTCAATCTCATCCACAAGCCTCTGACTTTCTGCCACCAGGCGTTCGGACCGGGACCTTTGGGCCTCTGCTCTGTGGTACTGGTTCTTGTTAGCGATGTGCCACTCTTCAGGCAAGAACTTGGGTGGAGGTTGGAGGAGTTTGGCCATTTCTGCTTTCCAAAGTCCTGGTCACAAAGGCAGACAATCATTGAGTTTCACCCAGAGCAGTATGTCCTTTTTTTATGTGTTTGTTCAAGTGTGATATATGTACCAAAGAAGTGCATACATCATCATCATCTGTACACACAATGAACACATCGGTGCAGCCAGCACGTCAGCTCCCTCCCGGTCACCACCCTCAACCCACGTCCCCACAATGTGACCACTGTTCCCACTCTTAACACTAGAAATTAGTTTTGGTGTTTGGGTTTTCACGTAAATGGAATCACCCAGTGTGTACTCTTATATCTGACCTCCCTCACCTGACATTACGGTGGTAAGATTCATCCCGTTGCCCACAAAGCTGTATGTAGCCTGTGGGTTCTGCTCCTGGGCAGTACGCCGCCAGTACACCACACCCACCTGTCTCTCCTACTGTGTATGGGTATAGGGGGTTCCAGCATGGGGCTGTTGTGAGAACGCTAGGATGTTCTCACACATGTCTTTCGCTGACCACAGGCACCCATTCATCAGGATGGCTGGGTCCTAGGCAGTGTTCACTTTTAGGAGATTCTGTGGACTGAGGAGCCCAGCGATGTTTCCTGAACAAATGAACACCTACGGCCATCTGTACACTGAGAGCTGGGTGTGGGGCCTACTCAGCAGGTGATACAAAACCTCTGAACCCTGGGCAGGACAAAGAAAAGCCAGAAGGTGGCCGCAGGTGGTGGTGGGGGGGAACACCTGCTCTCCCCACCACCGCACCTGCTCCGCACCACCTCCGCACCTGCTCCGCACCTGCTCCGCACGCAGCACCACTCCTTCCCCACACACACGTAGCTGCCCGCCCACGCCCCTCAGGACCCGGGCCTCCCAGCATCCCATGGCTCCCCGAGTCCGTCCGGGTGCGGACTCAAAACGCACCCGAGCAGCCCAGGGGAGATGGAGAGGAGGCCGGCGGGGGCTGGCCGGGGTTCCAGGCAGGGCGTCAGAGAGTGGGCCGCCTGCACTAGCCGTGGCGCCTTCGGGAACCGCTGAACACAGGTTCGCACCCCACCTGCAGCTGCAGCCCCCGCAGACCCGGCGGGTAAACCGCGCGTCTCCGTGGCAACCGGGGACGCGTCACCCCGGCGAAGGGGGCGGGCCGCGGCCGGACGGCTCTGCGCAGGCGCAGACCTGAGGGCTCCCTGCGGTCCCCACCCCCAGCGCCCGCGCTGGACCTCGGGCAGGCACAGCGGCCACAGCCCCAGCCTGCGGGCGGAGGTCGGGAGTAACGAGCCCGGCTCTGCCACGACAGGACAGCGCTCGGGACGGGTGCTCTAAGGCTGTAGTGCTGGTGACGCACTAACAGGGAAAAAGTCACGGACTGACCCCGCGGGGGACGAGTGCGCCGGGCCCCGTCCTCACGGCCCGAAACCTAGAGAATGGGCCTTCAAACGTCCCGCCCCGGGGACGTCTGCGTCGCCTCTACACCAGGCAATCGAAGGCCACCTCTCTGTAAGGACAGCCAATCAGAGGACGCCTGGCCCCGTGAGGCCCGCCCCCTACGTTTCGCGAGGCCTTGGAACGACAGGAGTCCCGCGGAGCCTCATGAATATTAAGCAACCGCCTGTCCAATGGCGTGCAGGGGAGACGGTGGCTTATTTTCATAACCCCGCCCCCGGAACGACAGTGGTCCCAGGGATCCACTCAGGAGTAGGGGAGGCTTACCGCTGCACCCCGACGCAGCGACAACTGTGGTTTTTTTTAAATCTATGGGTTGACTGGCATTTTTGAGACACCTTTGAAGAGAATCTGATTCCTGGAATTGCAAGAAACTTGAAGGCGCATCTGGTCCAGTCTGATGTGAATATCCTCTGCATCATCCATGCCAAATGGTTGCCCAGTGCTTGAACACGCCCAGGGACGGGGAGCTCATCCCCTCCAAAGGCAGCCTCTCTGGGGGCTGCTGTGCTGGAAAAGCCCTTCGGTAGTTTCCATGTGTGAATACTGCTTTACGTCCTGGGCCATACAGAATAAATCTGTTTGTTTGTTTGTTTGTTTTTTCTCTACATGAGCTACTTTTACTTATTTTAAAACATCTTTCTTAAAAAAAATAAAATAAAATAAAACATCTTTCTTTTTTTTTAAGATTTTATTTATTTATTCATGAGAGACACACACAGAGAGAGAGAGAGGCACAGAGACACAGGCAGAGGGAGAAGCAGGCTCCATGCAGAGAGCCCGACATGGGACTCGATCCCGGGACTCCGGGATCACGCCCTGGGCTGAAGGTGGCACCAAACTGCTGAGTCACTTGGGCTGCCCAAAACATCTTTCTTTTTCTCCAGGCTGACCCTCCAGGCTCCTTCAACCCTTCTTCAGGACGCATTCCTAAGCGTCCATCCCACTACCTCTCCTCCTGGTTCTGCCAGTGACCCTCAAACATGTCACTTCCCCTCTCTGGCCACTGTCCTCATTTTTAACCTGAGAAGGAGGGCACCCTGGGACCCCAGAAGCCCAGAACTACGTCTAAAATAGTCTTTCATTAAGAAGGGTTGGTTGAGCAGAGCTTTTTAAAACCCAGGCTGGGGGATGCCTGGGTGGCTCAGTGGTTTAGCGCCTGCCTTCAGCCCAGGTTGTGATCCTGGAGTCCCGGTATTGAGTCCCACATTGGGCTCCCTGCATGGAACCTGCTTCCCCCTCTGCCTATGTCTCTGCCTCTCTCTCTCTTTGTGTCTCTCATGAACAAATAAATAATCTTTAAAAAAATAAAATAAAACCCAGGCTGGGGTGTGTCTATTCATATCAAACTGACCTAGTCAGACATAGTCACTCAGTGCCAGACCGGGGCTCAGGCCACCTGCTGGGGGCATCCCGTTGTTGTGATGCAGCTCACGCCCTGCATACGTCCTGCCATCACAGCACAGCCAACTCTAGCTCTGGAGCAGATCACCTGCATGGTGTTATCTGCCAGGCATTCACAAGTATGACAAGGAACACAAGGGACGCCTGGGGGGCTCAGTGATTGAGTGTCTGCCTTTGGCTCAGAGCGTGACCCCTGGTCCTGGGATGGAGTCCCCACATCGGGCTCCCCGCAGGGAGCCTGCTTCTCCTTCTGCCTATGTCTCTGCCTCTGTGTCTTTCATGAATAAATAAAATCTTTCCCCCCCCCCAAAAAAAAGGAACACAAGATATTCTAAGTACATCTATTCCTGAAACCAAACATTTCCTCTAACAAGCTTTAGAATCAGTCTTTGGCTGGAGAATACGTGGAGTGCGTTAAGTCTGGAAAATAAACATCATTTGCTACAACTGACCTGCAGGATTTTCTTGTCATTATGCAGCTAAATGTGTTACATAAAAGAGAAGTAATAGATCTTGAGGCTGGCGCAGTTCTGTGACTGTAGTCCCAGCACCACTTCTTATTAGCTGAGCCAACCTGACCCAAAACTGGGATTTTTTTTAAGGACGTGGTGCTGGCACCTGTAACCCTGGCCACCAAGCCCACTGTCTGAGCCCTGCACTCACTCACATGCTCGAGAGGAGCCCGGTGGCCTGCTTAAAGTAGAATGCCAGGAGCTTGACAGACCTTTTCTGAACCTGGTGAGACATCTAGCCCACATTTGCCTTCTGGAACCTGAGCTGGGTGGGCGTATGAAGTCCTTCACCATGCGCTGTCCTGGGCTCCTTAAAGAAGAGCGGGCTATGTGAGTGACCCCATGAGAGCCCCCATCCATTTGGGGAGCTGTCCTGTAAGCAGTTTCCAGCAGCCACCGCGTCCAGGCAGGCTGCCTGGCCTCCTGGGTCACAGCCGAATCTCGGTGGTTCTTGGGCAGTTGGACTTTGATGCTGACAAGCGGTCCCTCATCTCCAAAACTTCTGGATTGACTTTTGTGAAACGTCTCTTGTTTCTGGTCTTTAAGGGATTTTTTTTTAATTTTTTTTTATTTATTTATGATAGTCACACAGAATGAGAGAGAGAGGCAGAGACATAGGCAGAGGGAGAAGCAGGCTCCATGCACCGGGAGCCTGACGTGGGATTCGATCCTGGGTCTCTAGGATCGCACCCTGGGCCAAAGGCAGGCGCCAAACCGCTGCGCCACCCAGGGATCCCGATTTTTTTTTTTTTTTTGAGACAGAGTACGTGTGTCTGTTTGATCAGAGTCAGAACACCTGCTCCTGACCAAAGGTCAAATGTGTTAAATATTCTGGGCTCCACCAGATGCTCCAAAAATAAGGCCAGAGGTCATCAAAATAACTATGGCCTGACCTTTTTTTTTTTAAGATTTTATTTATTTATTCATGAGAGACGCAGAGAGAGGCAGAGACACAGGCAGAGGGAGAAGCAGGCTCCATGTGGGGAGCCCGATATGGGACTTGATCCCAGGACCCCGGGGTCACGCCCTGAGCCAAGGGCAGACACTCCACCCCTGAGCCTTATAGTAACAATAGTAAAAGACCAGGAAGACCTCACGACATCCGATGATCTAGAGCACGCTCATTAAAAAAAAAAAAAAATGTGGGACATCCTTATGTCATATAAAATTGAAGCTATGAAAGAACGGGGAGGGTCCTTCTGTAAGCAAAGGAAATCGTCCGTGAAGGTTAATGTTCAACGAGTAAACAAGCCATGACAGGATCAATGTGCAGGAATGCTGGCATCAAATACTATCATGTACAAAAGAGGGAGGAGGGTGCTGCGATCTTGTGATTTATAGTAAGAAAGTTACATTTAGTTTTCATCCCCATTCCCAGCACATGGAGCTCCTGAAACCCTCATGAGCTCCTGGGAGCCTCCTCCATCCCCTCAAAGTGACTCTGGGGGGTGACTCCAGGTGGGCTCCTGGCCTGGCTCCTGGCTGGGGTCCGAGCGGCAGAAAGACAGAGCCAGGACTGGAGGCTTAGCGTTTCCAGCCCTGAACCCCTGTCTCTCAGAGAGGGGAGGGGGCTGGGGACAGTTAATAATCCATCACGCCCATGTGGGGTCGCCTCCGTGAAACCACAATAGTCAAGGTTCTGAGGGCTGGTGGACACATCCACCCCAGGGTGGGGGGGGGTCGGGGGTGATGCACCCCAACCCCATGGGGACAGAAGCCCCCATGCTCGGGACCCTCCCAGGCCTCGCCCTGTGCATCTCCTCCTCTGCTGCCCACCTGTGGCCTTCATCGTGTCCTCTCATGAGCTGCTGAATGTGAGCAAGCATTTCCCTACATTCTGTGAGCTTTTCCCACAAATCATCGTATCCAAGGGGAAAAAGAGGTCACGGGAACCTCTGGCTTTTAGCCAGGTCAGACAGGAGCTGTGCGTCAGCAGGCGACCTCGATGGGCATGTGAAGTGAGGCAGACCTGTGGGGTGCAGCCCTTCCCTGTGGGATCGGGGGCTGTCACTGGGGAGACAGGCTTGGAACCAGGTTAAATCAAAGGCACGGAGTTGGTGCTGTGGAATTGCTTGCCGTGGGGAAGGCCCTACACGCCCAGTGCTGGTAGTCAGGTAAGAGAGAGACAGACCCACAGGGGGAAAGACTGCTCTTCTCCTAAAACAGAAACATCTATGTGCTTCCCCCATGTGCGTGCATGGCCACCCCCACAGGATGCACGAGCTGCTAGTGACAGTAAGTGCTATGTGCGCTGTCAAAGGGAGACCCTTCACGCGATACCCTTTTTGGCTTTTTTAGAGTTCAAACCGTGTGGGCCTATTGCCTTTGCAAAAATAATTAAATTTTTTAATCAAGCTGACCGTAAAGCAGTAGGAGTGAGGCTGATAATCCCAGAACCCATGGGACAAGGAACCAGAGATGTGGGTTACGAGGATCGATGACAAACCAGCCAGGACCAACCCAGTAAGAAGAGTCACTGCATTTGGTCATTTACTGTGAAGAGAGTGGAAATAAAAAATATCCACTTTGAGGAAGCCATTACATAACCTGCAGTTGTATGCTTTCCCTTGAAATTTCAGTTCCAGGATGCTGGGATGGCTCAGCCATTGAGTGTCTGCCTTTGCTCAGGTCGTGACCCCGGGGTCCTGGGATCGAGTCCCACATTGGGTCCCCTGCAGGGAGTC